CTGGACTTTTATTGTAACAATGTTTGGCAGTGTTAGCTTGTATCAACTCTCGAGACTTAAATCTTCCGTTTAAACTTTTTCTTAGAAAATAACAAAAATTACATAACTGAAATTACCGAAGAAAGGGCTTAAAAAAAGAAGAAATCTTCAAAGCATTTCAGTTTAAATTCAATGTCCCCACAAGATCCAAAAGGTCCAAAATTAAGAGTATCAGAGAGAAAAAAACACAGAAAGCCAATCCACATTACAATAAAAGTCCAGCCCGGCTTCCGGAAATAAAAAGGGAAAGGAAAAAAAAACTTCAATTGGCAAACTTATATCCGCCACTTTTCTCTCTAGTCAGCCTTATTTTAAATTAGGTTTCCAAATTTAGGGTTTTCTCTTTCCAATATAAAAAAGGGTTTAAAAACTCTCACCAACACGACATGCTTCTCTCCAGCGCTTGTATTTAGGAGCTGTCAGGAGCTTCAGCAGCCTTTGGCTGATTCGAAATCGTTGGCAAAGAGGGATTTTCCCGGGTCACCAGAGACTTTGTTAGTGTCTCTGGGACCACTGGATCTCCCCCTACCTTTCACTGTCTCTTCGGAACAGCTTATGTCCAAAAAGAACCATCCAGATGATCCGGATTAGATGGACATTCAGGAGAAGCCTGAAAGTCCGTCTTCACGCTGCGACACACACATTTCGACCGGTTATTTTTTTTAAAAAAAAAAAATTAAACGACTTATTGCAACAAGGAATTCAAGAATGGCATTTTAGCAAGAGTATTTTATACTTTGCCAGTTTTCTTTTTGGCATTGCATAGAAAGGTTGAAATTTTAAGCATGTCAGCCCTGAAACTGACCTGACTGAGGCCATTTTGAGACTTTAGCACTGACACACTGAAGAAAAGGGAGCGGGAGAGGGGAATAGAGATAGTTGGGGTTTGTAGTCGAAACAAAATATTTTCTCTTGGGAACCAAGGACATTCTTACAGGTGTTCAGAAAGAAGGGAGTGAAATCACCTAGCAACTGGACAGTATCCTGATTGGACCATGTGACTGATTGTTTTGAGAAAGTGAAAAACGTTTACTTTTAATTAGGTGAAAACCATGGGAATAGTCAGAGTTGGTTTTCACCAGCCTGTGTCAATATGACAGATCCAATAAACTTATTCTTTGAGGAATTTCCCTGTCTCAGAGCTTTGTTTGCTACGGGTATGTTACTTGGAACCCTGACAAACCATTTCATACTTTGACATTTCATTTTTAGCATTCTATAGATTTCCTAGGCATTCTATAAGATGCCTAATTTCATACATTGAAAGTAACATATATAACATTAACAATTTTGATATCATTAGTTTTACCATTGAATATTTTGAAGCATTATTTGATAATATGGGCATGGTGCCAATTTGTACCTTAATTCATTTATTTTCTGTTAACTACCCATTTTACATTTATCTCTACTACCCTCTATCCTAGTTATACTCAGTACTTTGGTGCATTGTTTTCTCTAGATAATGTGAGAGTACTGAGCATTCCCAATACCTTAATTCCCAGAAATCTGAAATCTTACATAATCTACTGTTCCATTTGCCATTCCTTGGCCCAGAACACTCCTTCCACTTACAGTAATGGCCAAAATTGTGGAAACCTTTTGGGAAAAGGTTTGATGGCTATTAACACTTTTTTTTTTTGCAGTAGTACCATAACATTATATATCAGTGGAAAGATAATGTAATCAAGAATATAACGCAACAAAGTTTGTTTAATTATTTGTGTTCTATGAAAAGCTATAGCCATATAACCAAAAAAGGGAAGCACAGCTTGCTTAGGTTGATATCAGGTAGCTTTCCTTCATGTGATTGTAGTCAATGAGCCAATCAGATGACATCTTGTTTTGGTAATGAGCTAATCAGATCACAGTAGAATTCAGTTATTGATATCATGTATTGAAGTTGAGAGGAGGACATTTGTCAGTGTGTTATGTGATTGCTATCAAGTTGGTTGGGGTTTTTTGTATTCTTTCATTTAGTGAACTTGTAAAACATAATAAAATTAAACTAATGGTGCAAAAAGTTGACTAGCCGCCCAGAAAGTGATGTAAAGTAGTATTATTAAGTGAACAAGGCTACAGTTATAAAGAAAATAGAAGAAAAATTGGTGGAAACCTAACCAAAGGTGGCATTTCAAAGTTTTTGAAGAGGTATAAGGTGACTCAGTCATTACAAAACTACACTGGTAAAAGCTGGAAAAAGTGCACAACTGCAAGTGATGATAGAAGAATTAAGAAACTGTTCCTACGTGACAGAAGAAAATCACCTGGGTGTATAGATGAAATGGTGCAATGCAATGTGAAGTTGAATGCAAGGACTGTTCGGCGCAGACTGCAGGAATTTGGCCTACAATCTAGAATTTCACAAAAAAGCTGCTATTCTAATAGCAAATCCTTCATAAAAGTTATTGTATTACATTTTTGATTAAATTATCTTTCCATTGATATATAATTTTACGGTACTACTCCAAAAAAAAGTGGCATTATTAACCATGAAATCTCAAAAATACTGTACATTTTTCCCAAAAGGTTTCCAAGTTTTGGCCACTACTGTACAATGTTTGTTTTGCTTGTATATAAAAGATTTAAAAATTCTAATGAATAAATCAATATTTTATTCAGAGTACAAAATACATAACAGACTATCCTTGACCTTGGAACAACATACAAATTGACTATGTGATAAATAAATTATATTTTTTTCAATTAATAAATGGTTTGTAAATCATTTCTTATTCATTTATAGTGAATTTACTATGTACCGTGTTTCCCCGAAAATACGACATGTCCTGAAACTAAGGTCATGCCACATTTTTTGAGTGGGCAAAAATATAAGCCCCACCCAAAAATGAGACCCCTGGACAATCCCCCCACTCCAGCCAGGCAGACCACTCGCCGACCTAGCGGTATCCCGAAGGCATCAAGTTGCAGGAACGAGGTGGGGGCAAAGGCGCTCACATTGCTTGGCGCCTTTGGAATACTGCTAGGTCAGTCAGCGGCTCTGTGCCCAGCTGGAAAGGGGGGTTGCCAAGCGGCTGCTCTCTTGTGAGCGGGCTCTCAAAGAGCCGGGCACAGCCTCAGGGTCGAATGGCTGTGTTGCGCTGTCGCAGCAGCAACACAGCAGCCATGAGGTGACCACGATCACGAGCAGCCGCCCGACAGCCCCCCTTTCCAGCGGGCACACCGCCATTCACTGATGTAGGGGTATCGCCAAGCTGCGGAAGCGCCTGCTGGAAGACTCGGTATCCTACCTCCGTGCTTTGGAAGCCACAGAAAAAGCTATGTGGCGGCGGCAGCAGCAGCAGCGGAGATGTCCTGGCTCTGAAGGGAGAGCTAGGCAAGGGCATCGTGAGCCTGGGAGCCGCGTGCCCGGCTCTTCAGGAGCCCACTCGCAAGAGAGCAGCCGCCCGGTAACACAAAACAATAAGCCCTTCCCTGATAATAAGGTTCAAGCTATATTTTGTGGGTCAAAAGAAAATAAGACCCTGTCTTATTTTCAGGGAAACATGGTAAGAAAAATATTCCTAGACAGAACTATATGTACAATAAATATGTATTTAATATTTCAAAGAGCAATTAAAGTACCTATTGATTATATACATGCTCAAAGCAATGCTTTTCCACTTTCACTCTAATTTATTATGTTGGCTTTATATAGGAACATTCAGATTTCCCTAGTTAAAACATAAAGAGAAATTATTTCCCATATATTTAGTATGTTCTGATTTGTAAGATGCTTCTGATTTATAAAATGCTTCTCAAGTGAGAAATTTTATCTTGAATTTGTTACATGTAACATAAGTATAATTTCTTTTAGAGTTTATATGGCACTTGCCAGTGGTTGGCAAAATATTGCTGTCTATTGCAATCAGAGTTTGGGCTTTCTATACTACAGTAGACAACAGAACACAAGGGGCTTCTCAGCAACCAAGCTTCTTACCTTCTTAAACAATATAGCAGGTGCCATTTCAGCTCCATTTAGGGTTCTTAGGAGGAACATTGGCCAAGAGGATGCATTCATCTGGAATCCTAATTTGACAATAAATATATAATGGATATAATTTAAGAAATAAGGAAGAGTGGAGATGGGGTGGAAGCAAAACAGGGTTGATCCTTCACCAGTGCAAAGCACTCCAAATACAATCTATAACATTATATCCATTATTTTTCTCTTGATTTATGACTATTTCATTGTTGGCTATTTCAAAAAATGATCTCTTTAAATCACACTGTTGAATTACGTTTTCTTACCCAAAGGAGGTTGAAGCATTCCTCCTTTCTTTTCACACGTTCCAATTTGCTGTATATCAGAGGAATCCACTAGCCTCCAGAAATCATTTTTATTGTCACTTCCATCAAGACGCAGCCTTAATCTAGTACCTGAGATTCCAATAACTGTAGCTATACACACAGAAGTAACATTCCGGGGGTCATGAGCTTCCAACTTCATACCCACTTTGAAATCATTGCTAGGGGGAATCTTAGACTACAAAAGGAAAGATAATAAAAGGTTTACAATATAGTTTAACAATATAGTAGTTTAGTTTTCTACATAGTAAAATATATAGATGGACCAGTATGGGGAATTTAATGAATGAGCATTAAATGAACATCTAAAAATGAGCTAGATGACATCACACTGGTTTAATAATTATATAAATGCATCTTTTTACATTTCAATAACAAATCAACATATGCAATCTAAATTTATTTCATGATATTCATCTCTCTGTGCAACAAGCATTTAATACTACTTTGTATTTTGATACATCAAACAAGGTGATTATTATTTCCTACCACATGAAAAGAGAGTCTAATGTAAGTCTAACAGTAATGCTTCTTATATTAGTAATTCTTACTAATATGAATATACTATGTACCACATTAAGTGCATACTACATTGAATGCTACACTTGTAAGTAAGGCAGTTTGACAGTTTACAAACACATTAATTTTAGGAATGGTTTTTAATATTTTAAACTATCACCTGTCTGAAACACTGTGAAGGGGCAGCTACAGACCCTGTTTCTTTCAAGTAGTTGTCCCAGTTAAAATATTCTATGAAAAAATGGAAATGTTTAAACATTAAAACAGCAATATAAATACTACATAAATATACTTTAAGCTATAGGAATGTAAATAAAATCTTAAGGAATTTACAAAATTGTAAAAATATGTTTCCCAAACATATTAAAAATAATTATAACAATTGTAAAAAATGAAAAATTTTAAATTATCTTTTTAAACTGCACTGAATTTAGTTGGTATGTTGTGGCATATAAATTATCCAATTAATTAATTGAAATTACTTGAATGTTATTATAATCAGCTTTTTCCCAGAAGATTCCATCTCAAAGAAACAATGCACTGAATGTAACTTTTTAAATATAGGAAAGTTCTAAAAGTTGGAATTCAAATTAAAGCATGCAAGACAGATGATTGCCAAGACTCTCCTCTTAATACTCTCCGCTTAATATATCCAGCAAAAGTGAGCTCACCATAGCCTTGGTAACTGGTTCCACTACTACTACTATTAATGTTTGGAAGGTTTCCAAATATTCAACTGCAGTGCAAGCTGTTCTTTATCCTGAAGTACAGTATATTCAAGTATTTGAGGAGTGTTTGTATATTCTCAGTCTTCTCTTCTAAACATTAAACCTTTCAAAACACTTTAATCTGTCCTCAAAATTTAATTTTGTTTTAGTTCAATGATCCTCCTCACTGCCATTCTCTGAACACTTCTTAAAAGAAGATACCTAGAATTGGACATACAGTAATCAATATGTGATCTGACCAAAGCAGCATGTAGTAGAATTAGTACTTTCTGATTATTTGGAAATTGTACAGGTAGTCCTCACTTTATGACCAGTTGCTTAGCAACAGTTTGAAGTTACAATGGACCTCCTCAGGACTACTTATGACCAAAATTTGAAGTTCTGTTGGCTCCACTCTTCTCCCCCCCGTCACATGATTGCATTCTGGGCAATCAACAATAGTCAAGCTGCTGTTTGCAGTCATTGTAAAACCGGTGTTTACTTCTGGTTCCAGCAAAAAATGCCCATTGGAGATAAGTGTATTCTCTTAACTACTGCCACATTCGCTTAACTATGACCACAATAATGTTGTGAAATCAGGCATAGTCACATAGTGACCCAATTAACAATCAGCATTACTTATAACCATAATTCCAGGCTTAATTATGGCTGTAAGTTGAGGACTACCTGTACATGAATAGATCTAGTCTAAATTTACATTTGTCTTTTTAGCACTCATTATTTAATATATGTTTTGATACTTCATGTATTGAAGGAATATTTGTACAGAAATAATATGAAACACTGTTTGTACAGCAATGAGTTAACCTAGTGCAACAGCTCAGATAAAAGTAATAAAATGTGGGGTGAGAGCATTCTGCAGAAAAAGACAAATTTACAAAATTTATCTAGATGAAGATCTATTCAATGCAGTTATACCCCAGAAACCAATTTACAATTCAGTGAAGTATTGGAAGCAACATATAGTATGTAACATTCCTCTGCTATCTACTGGTATATTAATTCAAGAACAAGGTTGCTAAGGCTATTAAAACCTGCTTAAACAATATAACAATAAAGTACCCACATAAAATGTTAAAGGAATTCCTTCACACATCTTGCATCTCAACTCATTTAACATTTAGTTGTAAAGCAAGTAGAGGCTAGTCCATATTCTCTATCACAGGGATTTGATAAGCGCCTGACGATATGCTACAAATAGAGGCAAAATCAACATAGATGAAAGTATATGTAGCTTAGGATTGATCTGTGGAACACCCTTATGATATTACCTAGTCTGGTAATAAAACATCTGCAAGCAACCAAGCTCAGAGAACACCGAAGACTCCACAGAATCAAAATAATATACATATATTTTCAAAATAACCAAGATATCAGAAATTTGCACTCCAATCGTCCACTGTTTGCTAAGATCACTCAACTGAGACAGATCCTTCAGAGAAAGTGGAACTAGAGCAAAACAATCTAGAATTTTGGTGAGTCACTGAAGTAGAAAGCTGACTGGAATATTTGAAGACAATAATTCTAATGCTCCTTGAGGACACCAAGTCAAGAAAGGCTACCCTAAAGCCACCAAAAACTGGCAATAATTTGCATGAGATTTAAGGCAGCTTTTTCAGTTCAGTAAGCACAAGGCATTTTACTCTGTAGATATGCATATATCACTACAAATGGCTTCTGGAAATTTTAACAAATATGGAAACCACAATCCAAAAGGGCAGATAGTTCATAAAAAGCTTTGCTGCTCAAACAATAGAAATTGAAATATATTCACACTTAAAATTCTTGGCCATTAAATCTTCAACCAACACATTAGAGCTAAATTATTGCATATGTCTGCAGTCTGCACTGGTGATAACCATAAAACTGTTCTGTTTCCCTGCTGCAAACAATAGCAATATATACAGATGGCAGTATAGACCATTCATCTGATTAATCGTATATTCTAAGTAAAAGATACAGCATAAGAGTTAGTAAAATGCTACATTTTTTTTCAAGATACAGACACCTCTCAATGAATTAATCCTTACAGGGACTTGCTTTATTCCTGTGCACCTACTCTTCTAACAGTAACAAGGCAGCCAAATAGGAAAAGATGTTGAGATAAATATTCATTGTGAATGCGAATCAAAGTATTTTATATATTGCCCAGTAATAAAATTCTTGTTTATGCTAGTAATCTATGTATAATTAGCTAACATGTAGATGTGCAAAATGGCCAACTTCTATGTGTTTCACTCCATTAACTGCTATACATAAAACAAAACAAACTAATAATAATACTATGCTGCCACCTAGTGTTTCTCCTTCAAACTGACAGTAACTCCTGGGGTAATTTTCTTGACAATAATACCAAAGTTAGATACCATAGAACAACTAAGACGTTTCTTAGCAAAAAGCTGAAGTTCTTCCTGAGTGATTTAAGGTTTATTCAACAATAGAGCATTGACTTCTATAAGCCTTTACTGCAACTTTTGTATCCAACGTTTGTGTTGTTTCTTAGCATGCAATGAACCACAAATGACACAACTGTATACTGTGCAAATCCACCTCATTGATTTACTCCTGGGTAAGCAAATTGTGTGAGAACAAACATTATGTTTTATTATTTCATATTTTGAGAATCAGGAAAGGAAACAAATATCATTATGCAATACACGTAGTCCTTGGGTTACAACCAGCCATTCAAAGTTACGATGGCATTGAATGAGTAGTTCAGTAGTTATGACTGATCCTTGAAATTCCAGCAGTCACATCACCCATGTGGTCACATTATTGCAATCTAGACACTTGACAATCAACTCATACTTATAACTGTTGCATTGTCCTGGGGTCACATGGTTGTAATTTTTTACTTCCCCACAAGCTTCCCACTAGTAAAGTCACTAAGGAACCAGCAGGGAATGTCACAAATTGCTCTGATAAGTCTCCCCAACCTATGCCCCTCCCCTAGTCCCTCTGTACTCACACTTCATCAGCCACCCCATACACCCTCCCAAGCCGCTCTGCACTCAGCACTGCATCTCCCTGGATAGTTGTACTCTCTCCCACATGGCAGTCACACCCTTGCACATTCTCCCCAAGTCTTGCTGCACTCACGCCACACCTTCCCCATCATGTCCACTCCAAGCCACACAACACTTATGCCACACCTCTCCAGCCACTCATTTACCTTCTTCCATTTGGCAACAGCCACCCCAAGTCCTGCTGCACTCACACATCACTGTTCCTGAACTTCAGTATGCTCCTTTCATACATTCTTGGCCACCCAGGCACCCTTTTCTACCAGGAAGCAGCCCCCTCGTACACCAAGCTTTGTTGTACTTGTGCCATGCTTCCCTTAACGATGGCACACCAGGAATTGCAGGAATTGCTCTCCTAAGAGATGCAGTTATATTTATGACAGTGTCACTTAATGATGGAAAGTCTGGTCCTATTTGCTGTCATAACTCAAGGATTATCTGTATATTAACAGCACCAGTTTTAATAAAAGGGTTGTAAGTGTGAAAAACAGTAATAAGTCACTTTTTTCAGTGTCGTTGTAACTTTGAACAGTCACTAAATGAACCGCTATATATAGTACCTAAACACATTCCTAAAACAAATTTCCCATTTTATCTGACAGAATAGTATCTTCCCTAATAAGCTTTATTACCTGAAATTTTATCAACATTCATATTTTAAAGGAGTTATTTCACAAAAATAAATACATATTAAGAAAGTTCAATTTCTATCTGCCTAAATGCTATAGTATTATTCTATATAATAGCAACCTTTAATGAAGACTACTACCAGGATTATAATCAAAGCATTGAGAAACAGATATGACCATACTTTGTATAACCACAAGGCTTATACATTTAAAAACAAATGCCTAAAGTGAAAAAAGTAAGAGGATCTTGTGAATGCAGATGCCCAAAGAGGTATAGTTACATGAAAAAATAAGATTTTCTTTGCAGTCCCTCTGCCTCCAATATAGTGGAATAGGAAATCCCCCCCCCCACTTTTCCTGCTGATTGTCCTTTCCTTGAGGAGCCCTGCACAGACACACATCCCCAAACTGCTGCCTCCAAAGCCTCCAGACTTCCACCTCCAAGTGCCCAGAGTAAAACAATGAGAGGCAGCTCCTGGGCCTTGCTGGCTCAGCTGATCTGCAGGAATGCGATTAAGGGGTTGAGCCTCAATGAGGTGACCAGGGAAGGGAAGGGCTGCCTCCTGTGCTGGCCACACCTACTAGGCCTTATTTGGGGTAGGACTTATATTAGGCCCATACCAAAAAATAAGGCTAGGGGTTGTTTTTGGAGTAGATTGTATTTTGGGGAAAACAGTACCAGTAGCATGCCATTTGCCAATCCATAGATAAGCATCAACTGCAAAATTCTTGCAGGTTAGAAACTTAGTATTCATGGTAGAAAGAAGTTCAAACACACCATTATAGAGAAGACAGCTGAAAGCACCAGAAGCTTTACTGGCAGAGATATTCAAAATCACTTGACATTTTGTGATTGACTAAGAGAACACTAAATTAATTATGTCCATTATAGGAGTTGCTACATGAATTTAAATCAAAGTATCATCTATATTGCTTTTTCAATAGAAGAAACAAAAAGATCAATTGCAATGAACTGCTAATAGGATTTGTTATGAACAATAACACGGATACATAAATTAATTCCATACTGATATTAAATCTTCTTGGCATCCTCTATGAAGAACTATGAAGAAGAACCACGAGAGCTGTGTAGTACAGATGAGCATCTCTGGATAGATAGAATTTTTCCAAAGAAAGTGTATTATAAGCTAGGATTGCCTTGACCACCAGTAGCTGATCCTACAAAGCTCAAAGGCATATTTATAGAAAAGGCTTAATCCCTATATCAATGAAAATATTTCCTAAGAACCTCTTGTCACAGCACACTTGGAATAAGACCTATATCATTATGTATTTGTGTGTACACAAATGTATAGACTGAGCTGGCAAAGAGATAGTTCAGCAGTATATATTAATAAAAATTCCCAATACAGTGTCTGAAACTGTTGAATGGTATAGTCTTGAACAATAGGTATGGGAATCCCAATATTTTTTTGTATTAATTTCCTTGTAAAGACGCTGCATCTATTGAATTGATATTAAGCTCAGCTTAGCATTTACTATCAGTGATAATGACCTCAACTCTTTAGTAATAAGTTTTGCCTAACTCCATGAAGGCCACCTCTACAAGAAGGCAGGCCTTCCCCACTATTGCAATAACTGACAACTTCAGCTAAGTAGGAAAGAACAGATTGAGGCAAGATGTAGTTCTGATAAGAAGTGGTCTAGTAATTTTTGCTGAAGCTCCACACAAAGTACTACAATAAAGGTCCTGTGGCCTGACATAAGGAAATGCTTGAAGCTGACAGACTGTACTTACATAATGATTCAAAGTATACTGTTAAAAACTTTACATTACATTACATTAAACGTTAGCATGAAATATACTGGAGAAAAGGGTTTATAGGCATAAGTAGTATTCAAATAAAAGCAATGTTAAAATAAAAGACCTAATGTTAAAGATTTATCTTATAATCCATAAACAAAATAAGTTGTGAGTAAATGATAACTTATATAATAATTAACCAAAACTGAAATATTTTCGAATTTAATTAAGTCTGTTGGTTTGAAACTCTGTGGAAATTTGACTAAGAATATTTTTCCCTCCTCCACTCTTCTCTTTGAGACCAGAGACTGTTTCTTCAAGAAAACTGGAATGGAAGAAAATGATTAATTCAAAACTGGGAAGAGGCACCTTCTAGAGAGATTTTTCAGGGACAGCAGAACACTGAAGGAAATGAGAAAGTCTGCTTTTAAAAAGTCTTCATACACCAAAATCTGTTCTCTTAACATTTACAACACATAATGTTATCCAATAATTGGTTCCTTGACAGATTGCTGTTGCCATGTCTTTCTTTTTTAATAGACTTGAAATCTAAAATAAACATAATTGTACACGTTGCCATATACTTCTACCAATATCATTCTATACATTTATAGAATTCTATTAATACATCATTACAGAATTCTATTATTCTCAATAGGAATCATTTCTGGGTAGATACAGGATTTGGGCTTAAGTTCGCAACATAAAGAATATTTCAAAATATTTGAAATCTAAATTTATTCTCAACTGAATCTACGTTCAGTTAGGTTTATTTCTAAAATTAAATCAGATAGTAAATCATAATGCATTGACGTTTAAAAACTCAAAGGGTAATGCAAAACAGCAAGCACTTTGACAAAACAAAGGCAAATACTTCAGTAAGTATTATGTAATAAATTATAATCGCAATGTGTTCTCTATAATTATAATAGTGATTTCAGCTTAAGCATATTGTACAAAGTACTAAATACTATTCTACATAATCCTTTTTATCCAATGTTATATAGAAACCAGGGACACTTGCTAAAGAATATGCAAACAAAATGACCTAATATGATTTTTGGCTTATTAACCAGGCAAAGAAAATTAGAAGAAGCTAACACAAAATAGAACAAATACTTAAAAGAGTTATTGAACAACTAATTGTAGACCATTCATTTAATGCACAATGGATTATTGGATGAAACCTACATGGCTAGAGGAAAAAAGAAGCAATGGCAGTAAGATAGTCAGTTCTATTCAAAGTCACAGTTGCTGAATAGATGATACCTTTAGCATGGATAGATATTCTGGCGCATTGGCAGGATGAAAAAGGGTAGCTATTTCCCTCCTGGAAATTTCATCTAGCACATTTCTTCACTTGATATTACTGAGCATTTTTTATTTCAACCCAGGAATAAATGAGAAAAAGTTTTTTGACATCTATATGTACTGCAGAAGAAACAAGGATGATTACATCTTCCAGTACCATGTTTTTACAGTATGGAAATAATGTTAACAGAGTTAGTAGTCAATTCAGACATCATAAGAGGCAGAAGACAACAGATTTTGGATCTCTTACAACCAATGCTTTAATCATAACATAAACAGTATTTTAATATATGTAAAGGCTGAATTATCCTATTACTATAATTGGCACTCTGCCATCTACGATACAGACATCAGTGCTAACTATATATATATCACATTCCCAGAATGTGAGTTCGTAGTACATTTTATTTGAATATCTTGATTTTGTTAAATAATTAAAGAAATATTTGAACAGAATTACATGCATATGGTACTTTTGTGAGCTTTATGGGTTTTTATTAATACACTTGAATATGACATAAAATTAATATCAAAAACAACTTAGAATGTTTATCAGATATTTTTAAATGCCTACTTTATGGGGAAAAATTCTGCCAAGTTATTAAACCAGTGCAGAACTTAGATTCAGAAAAGACTATTTAAAGCATGTCCAGTAGCTCATGTTGATATTTCCTTAAACCAAATGATTTTTCACTTATCAGCAATAGCTGTATAATCCCAGGAAAAGATACAAATTTTGTACAAAGGTACAACTTGTTTAAGCAGCTGCCAAAAGCTGTTAAATGAAATCATTCCAAAAACTTTATAGCTTCTTTTTCAGTTATCAGCAATAATTATACAATCCCAGGAAAAGATACAAATTTTTAAGTAGCTGGCAATAGCTGTTAAACAAAATATTACAAATAAACTTTCTAGTTTCAAATACAGGTTGCCTACTATTTATTTGATTGCAAATTAATTTAATAAAACAGCATATTTAAAGACTTTTGCACATTACACTTGCAATTTTATGAAAATGTATTATTTTCTTTCACAAACTAATTGGATCTAGCAGATGCCATTAAATATTTACCCAACTAGTTTTAGTTCTTCCCATAATCTAGAAAAGAAATCAAAATTTGAGTTCAGAAAAAAAGTTGTTTATATCAATATTGTAGCTATTCTACAAACATCTACATCTCTTTTTCATGAAATTATATTACTAATTGTCCAAAAACATCCCAATTTAGGAATTAGGAGTACCCTTAGAATATATTAAACTTCTGAAAATAAAGTCACAATTTAAATGTCTGGAAATTGTGACTTCTGGTGTTAATGTTCCCTTTTACTATCTTATTGTTTCAACTTTACCTGTTTTCCCCATGGTTAAAAGTCTGGTCCTCCCTGTCACAATAAAAATACAAATGTTGCCTGAAAAGTTCACTCTTCTGTTTCAGTAGAATTGTTTCCTGTAAAGCAGTAATAAAATAGATTAGGAAGAAAGCACACACACACACACACACACACAGACACAGACACTAACAGTATAAAATCAGTAAATTAATGAGGAATGGAATTAAGAATAAAAAACACTTTAACTCTTTCTATTCATCCCTACAAAAACTCATGCAATTTTTTTTTCAATTTTAGGTTCTTTATTTGCACTATTCACTATTTGCAACTGATTTATTGAAGGAATCCTATTATTTCTAACCACACAAAAACACACAAAAACACACACACAAGTAGAATTGCATTTATATTAGGATATCATAGTAATTATAAGTTCAATGCTAGCACCATTTACATAGAAATTGACATTATTTGCTTTTGTTTTTTTTACTTTAGACACATATACAATATTGTTGTTTGATTTAATTATAAAACAGTTGCAGCAATAAAACTGTAAATCTATCATTTTATTTTCTGTATAAGTAACTGACTAGACATAATTCGTCTTAAATCAGTTAGATATCTTTTATTTCTGGTGTTCCATTTAAATAATGCCATTTATTGCTCCAACCTTCCTGAAAAGTGCAATCTTGATAAATGCTTGAAGGTACATATTTATACCTTTTATCAATAATCAATTAGGTCAAAAAGTGATAATGACTAAGGAACAAAATTAAACACCACTTGCCATTTGTCTGTATGAAATTTGCTGAAATAGAAATACGAATGCAATAATCCACAACATCTTTTGTGGTCTTTATATCTTGAACTAATAATGTTTAGTAATTCTGTATATGTTACTTAGAGATTATTGCTGCTAAATTATATATAACATATCGCAAGGTTAATAGGGATATATCCTAAACTGACCTAACTTGCTGAAACACTAAGGAACATTCATTCATTCACAATTGACAAGTTTTACAGAGTTCAAAAATTCAGATACAAATACAAATTTTCTATAGCATTTAATTGCGGTATAAGTTATCTATTGATTTAAAACTTTTCAAGAATTTCATATACATGAATATAGTAACAAATCCTTGTTCCCAGTCTTATAAAATTGCATAGTACATTTAGAAAACTAAAATCTGACCAAATCAATCCTCATAAAATATTTGAGAATCAGCTAGAATAGTTAAAATATGAAACTTGAAATGTTTAATTTGGTTATTATGCATACTGGCATAGTAAAAAAAATAAGAATATTTACTCTTCATGATGGCACTAACTTTCAACTTTCACACTTATGGGTTTTAGGGGGAAAAAAATCTAAATTTTAAATGTCATTTTGACAATCTTTAAAATTGAAGTGCATTGTATACAGATTGTAATAAAAATCATTATTTTTCCCTCAAAAAATGAAATTCCCCAGGACAATTATGTCTGAGCAAATACAGGAGCAAACATTAATGTATGTATGTATTTTTAATTTCAAAAGTTCACATGCAAAAATGCTAATATGAGAATATTTGTAATAAATAAAGCATACATTTCTAGGAAATTAATTCAACCAATGAAAACCCATTTCAATAAAAGGAAATAGGAGCTGCTACAAAAAGCTGTTGAACTCAAACAGATTTCAAAGCTATCTTACAACTGAAAGGTGATCCAAGTCATCCTCTTTATGAGCAGTCAACTTTAAACCACTATTTATCTTTCTATTGTTGCTTTTCTAGCCAGCAGCAGATTACACTTGCTCCTGTAATAAAGATTCCAGTTCAATAGTGATTATATCTCTCTAAGCCACTGAAGTGCTTGCTGGAAAAACATAAAAAGAATTCCAGCATTTCAGACAAGTGAGCATCTAGACAGAGACAAGATTGTCAACTAACAGAGAAACCCCATCCAAAGGCAAGGTTTGGCAATAAACATTTCATAGCCTATAAAATTCAGCCCACAAATTCATCCAGAATTCTAGATCTAAAGCACAGTTGTCACTATTTCCCACATGCTACGTAGTAGCTTGAATTGTGTAATAGTTTGAATTGTCATTCTATTTAAACTAGAAGTGACACAGGAGTTTTTATATTGCTCTGAGACTAGGATTATTTTTCTGAAGGACAAACCCAATATACATTTACATCTGTTGCTTTCAAAAAGCTCTAGATCTTTCATTTAACCATTTTCATAACAGTGTTTCATATAAATACATTTAAAGCTTTTTAAACAACAATTTTCTATATAAAGAGCACCATCAATCCAATCATATAAATTTAGTTAGAATTAAAGCTGCAGTTCTTTGAAACTAATTTTTTCTTATATTTATTTTATATAAGCAAAGAAATATTTATAAACTGGGTATAAAATATTTTTATTGGAGAAAAATATAACTACTAAACTAAACATTCCTAGATGTGTTAAAATGAAACAATTTTTGAAGACAAGCTACAATGGACAAAAAAATAACGTACCAATTATTGCAGGCCCAATTATAATTTGTATATCCTAAATCTTTAGGACATTGTTTCATCTTGTAATACACCTCCTCTTGGTTTATTCTTTAAAAAGTTTTTCACAAACCTAAAATAAAGTCAGGTTTACTTTATTACAAGCAGATACTGCAGTTGATGTACCTAAACAGATGAGTAACACTAATACCTCTTACAAGAATGGAATAAATTTAGCCTTAACTCACCCCTAAATATTTAAAATTCTTGCACTCAAATTGCAGACATTTTAACAATAAGTCATTATCCCAATGACATAGACATGCTTTGTTCCATCATAGTTTGATCACTATGTTAAGTACAAAGATTTAAAATATACTTTCAAACTTTGTCTGAAGTTTCTCTTTTGTACCACCTGCAAATGGATAAGCAAGTAAAGGGGGAAATACAGTTATTAACACCATATAAGGTATCTTCCCCTCAATCAGCCATGTATACTGTATGCAAACATATAAGAAAACTGAATGAACTTGGGCAAATCATACTTGCAGGTCTACAAAAATCAGGTATCTTCTCATCTTGTGTGATTTCTACTCATTTTTCACAGCTAAACTATAGATCAAAGAGTTCATTACTTTGCATTGATTTGCTTTCTTCTAAACACATTACTACTGGGATATTATAGCAGCAAACTGCATGGATAAGAATAAAGGGAAATATGCTTTAACATAGAAATTGCTGCAATAGCAGAATTACTAGTATGTAATTCAACCATTATAGAGCTGGACGGAAAATTTAAATATCAACAGTGAATTAGTTAAGTTCCATAGCCATATTATTTCCTATTCTTTAAAAAAACTTTTAAAAACCTATTTGTATGCCTTTATCCCAAACATATTGCTTTTACATTACTACCATTTTAATGTATATTTTAATGGGTATAAGACTCAAAAGGTATCTAAAGCTGGAAAGACCATGTTCTTATAGGACTAAGATTTAGAAAAACTGTATCAGTACTTTGATTACAAATGTTTTTAAGCATTCCCTATACTCTTTTAGCAGCTCAAGAGAAATTATAAGGATCAACTGATCTAACTCAACCATTGTGTATCTACTGGCAAAATAACATGGATTTTCATTTACATTAATTTTGCTGAAACATGTATTAACCTTATAGAACCTTTACATTAAAAAACCTTTGTTTTTTATTAGATTTAGACTAGAATATTAGATTTTTATTTAAAGTGATTATCTGTACAATCTTACATATTCAGAAACATACTCAAGATTTTGTGCAAGGAAAATAAAAGCATTTTAGTGGAGACTAGCTACTGTAATTTGCAGACACAAAAAGCAGTTCTATGTATTATTACTTACAAATATTTCTCCCTGTGCTCAATGGAGTTTGCTTTTCGATAGGTATCTTCAGTATTAAAACTATAGAGTGTAATGTTTTGTAAACTATCCTAAATTGTATTGAGTATGCTTTCAGGACACTAGATTACACCCTTGATCAAAATTCATAAAGAAAATAGACACAGGTTGAAAACTGTTTCTTGGAAGAAATGAATGGTATCAGAAGTCTATTATGACCAACAATACACACAAACCCAAAGTAATAAATTTCCTGAAACTTCTTGTTCCTACAAGCGCATCTATTCTTTGGGTGCCGACCAAGCAAGATGAAGTAGCTGCCGCAGCAACAGCCGGTCCACCAACAAGTAAGTTTTAGGCTTCACTCTCACACAGTACTGTACTTTAGGCCAAAGAAGAGGAAAGGGAGGAGAGTCTCAGCCAGAAGAAAGCTACACCTCGAAGAAGTGTGTCCACGTCTACGCTAATGTCAAAGCACATCCAAACAACCCCAAAAAATAAGCGCCAATTTAAAATGCGCGCCGGGGGGGTATCAAAATAGTGCAGAACTGCCGCGAATAGCTTGAGTCCTTGAGCATTTAGCCCGAAAAGATTGGGGAGGGGGACTCGCCTTTGCCCTCTCCTCTTCTTCAGTGCTCACGGTTATTCCCGCCCTATTTTATAGTGAAATGCTTGTTAAGCAGTATGCCCAACAGAAAAGCCAGCATCGTTACTAAATTTAGCTAGGGTTAAATGTGACAGCTGTGCTGGCTCAGCTCTGGTCAGGAGGCGTCAGTCGCTCCTCTCCCCTCCCCTTTCAAATAAAACCGCGCAGCATTCAAAGCGCAGAACTGCCCGTCCAGAACCGGCTCTCCGGCCGGCTTCCACCTACCCGTAGCAGGGCTTTTCAGAGAGACCGCGAAAGCGGGAGGGAATGAGACTGCCATGCCCCCTGGCTAAATGCAGGGGTGAGCTCCCCTCCGCAAAGGGGATTGCAATGTTTTTTCTCTTCACCTTTTGATCATCAGAAAGGTAGAACTAAAGATTTAGCTGAGGAAGGGAGAGCGGAGTTATAAATCCCCTCCGACCCGTTAAAGTAAACAACCAAGGACTGGGGAAGGAAGCCCCAGAGTGCCCCAAGACCCAAAGGGAGGGTGCAAGAGGCCGAGAAGAAAGAGGCAGCTCGGGAAAACCTGAAGAAGAGACAGTCGCCTAGAAGACTGGTTGGGGGAGGTGGAGGACGAGTATCCTGCAAACACCAAATATTCAGCGGGAGGTGGCGGATGAATCCTGATCTGACACCAATGCTTTCCCTTCTCAGCTCGCGTTTTAGAATGCGGGACCCGGAGATCCCGCAGCGGAGAGAGGAGAAAGCGACGGCGAAGGGGAGAGGCGGCTCCAACTCCGCCTGTTTTTCTCCCTCTGAAGGCAAAAACACTCGGAACTCTGGAACCGGAGCACTCACCGAACACGAGGGAGCCCCGGTCTCGTAGCACGCAGGGGGCTCGGCTCGCGGTGCCGCCGCCACCACCACCAAGATTCACGCTCTTGCTGCCGCCTCCGCCATGTTCCTGGGGCGTCGCGCATGCCCGGCAGTGGCCCTGGGGGCTTCCTGCGCCTTCGTGTCTTGTCCTCACGGCCCCCTGACAAGGGGGCGGAGGGGACGGGTGACAATTTAGTCGTTACTGCAACAGTTGCCGCTGTGCTAGTGGCTCGCGAGAGCAAGTTGGGGCTGTCCTCGCCCACGCCACACCACTCGTCGTGCACATGCTGCTTGTACCGCTGTAATATGCTTTAAGTGGCTGCTGCCGATACCCCACTGTAGTTATCCCGAAACGATATAAATATAGACTTTCTCTAAATAGAATTGATCTTGAATTGACAGATAATATTGGGTATAAGTACTATTATGTTTTGTAAGTTAGAAAAATGAACGGTGCAAAAATGAAACAATGTGCGAATCACGTTTCTAACCTGTCTGAAATAAATAAGCTGTTAAGCATGCGAAAAGAGATTGTCAAAGATCAAGAAACAGGAGAAAGCAAACTGGGTGTCAGAATAAATTGGAAATTGCCAGGAAGAGAAACCAAAGCCAAGAAAGACAAAGTTCCCAGGAAGAGATTCAACAAACAATATCAGAGAACTTTCAGAACAAACAGTATTGCAACACCTGCAATAAGATTAAAAATAAAAAGACACAGAAAAATAAGAAATAAGAGGTCTGGAGTTAAGAAAGGGATTCTAACTTCAAACTGATGTGGTGAACACTAAAGTCCTTGACTTACAAACATTTGTTTAGTGACTTTTCAAATTTACAAAGTCACTGAAAAAAGTGACATCATTTTTCACACTTATAACCCTTGCAGTATCCCCATGATCATATGATCAAAATTTGGATGCTTGGCAAATACAGTAGTATGTTTCTGACAGTTGCACTGTCATGTGATCACCATTTATAACCTTCCCAGTCAGATTCTGACATTAAGCAAATCTGGGAAGCCAAGAATCTGCAAGATTCACTTAAAACTGTAGTGGTTCACTTAACAACTGTGGCAAAAATATTGTAAAATGAGGCATATGTTTTACCAAGAATGTTTCTTATTTCAATCAATACCAATCATGACAACAGACATATCTTTTAAACAATGGCAAAAGGATATTTCTAACTGTGTGGGAAGCAAAAATCAAAAATTAAACATAAGTTGATTTAGGATACTAAAGAGAGAGGAGAGTTGGCTTTGCGTGAGCTGAAATTATATTTTGATGTTTGGTTTGGATAAAAGATTGGGTAACTTAAAAAAAATAAAAGGCTACTGGAGCTGGAAGGTCTTGAGTTGAGATTTGTGTGGAACAGTTGCTTATGGCTTGAGAAATTAAAAATTGAATGTAGCATTTAAGAATCATTTTGTAAGATGCCATATTGAGTTTGGAACAGACATAAAGTAAGATTATTTCATAAATTGCCTTTATAGGTGTCTCTCAAGAAGCCTTTTTTTTAGAAAGGAAAGGATTGTTAAACAACTATGAATAATATATGCTGATTTGTTGGTTTGTGTTGTGGATCTTAGATTTAAAACTCGAAAACAAAATGATAAGGGAACATAATTGTCATTAATTTACATATTTGCAATTGTAAAAGTTATTTTAAAAATTGCAGACTAAAAATGGAGTTTGAAGAACAATTATGTAATAATGACCAACTTATTGCAAAAGTATATAAAATATTGAAGTTTAATTTGAAGATGAATTTGTGAAAGTTTTTATTGTCAAATGGGCTAAAATATTGATTACAATATTATGTAACAGTACTTTTTTCCACCTTTGGTGGACATGTAAGGCTAAGAAATTTTGGAAACAGGTTCAGAAATTTTTGAAAATGAACATAATATTGAAAACTGAAGTTTTTCTTTCAGGGAGGCAGATAAATGGTGAAAAAATATGAGACTTCATTTGTATATATGATAATGGCAGCAAGGTTGTTATTTGCCCAGATGGAAAAGAGAACATATACCCACCATGTTAGAATGGATTGTGAAGAGCTGAGATAGCAAAATTGACACCAAGGATAATTTGTCTAAATTTCATGTGGCCTGGAGACTATTGTTATATTTCTTACAAGATAAAGAGAAGAATCTTTACTTTGACTTTGGGATTTGGAGGTTGTATTAGGTTTGACTGGAGAAATATTGTTTTTAAAATATTTACACTTGTTAATTTCCTATGTTCCTATGTTTTAGATGAAATTAAGAGAAA